AAATAATTTTTTCTTGCGCTTGAAACGCGATTTACACCTTTACAAAGCTTCTCTTGCGCATGCAAATTTAATTTACGCTTCCACAACTCTTACCCTGTGTATACAAATCTTTTTGACGTCATTCTACCTATAAATGTGGACTTCCAGAAACCATAAAGCATGTAATAATCAATTGTATGGCATATGAAAGGGAAATAATTCAATTAAAAAACGATTTAATTTCTGTTGGCATAAATTCTTTAACTTTGCAGAATATACTTAACAGTTCTTACAAAGGATATGAAGCTCTGGGTTTTTTTTTTAAAGCAACAAAGTTATATAAGAAATAGAAAAGTAGAGTAGTTCAAAACACGAGCTGCAGTTCCACTTCCGGCCGGCAGGTGGCGAGTCCCCGCCCCTCTCAGTGAAAGCGCTTATAGGCACGTGTCAGTCAGCGTGACGCAGTAAAATCTGGGCTGTTTTGCACAGTAAAAACAGCTCTTTTTGCTAATTAAACGCGACATTAGCGGTCATGGCGCAGAGCATGCTGCTGTACTGGGGCTCCGGCTCTCCGCCGTGCTGGAGAGTCATGATCGCGCTGGAGGAGAAGCAGCTGCAGGGATACAAACACAAACACCTGTCGTTTGACAAGAACGAACACAAGTGTGAAGAAGTGAAAGCTCTCAATCCCAGAGCTCAGGTGCGTTCACATGCATGACAGACTCGTGTCGTGTATGATTTCTTAAGATTGCATTGAGCTTTTACTTTCTGTGCAGCTGTAATTCAGCGACAGAGCAGTTGCCAGAGTCTTGTTTTAATATTGCACTTTTTTTTTCGTTTTATTTGCAGCTTCCGACTTTCAAGCACGGAGACATCGTCGTGAACGAGTCGTTTGCCGCGTGTCTGTATCTGGAGGTAAAACACGAGGGGCGTGGCATGTGACAGAGGGGCGTGGCGACAGACTCGTGTCGTGTATGATTTCTTAAGATTGCATTGAGCTTTTACTTTCTGTGCAGCTGTAATTCAGCGACAGAGCAGTTGCCAGACTCTTGTTTTAATATTGCACTTTTTTTTTTCGTTTTATTTGCAGGTTCCGACTTTCAAGCACGGAGACATCGTCGTGAACGAGTCGTTTGCCGCGTGTCTGTATCTGGAGGTAAAACACGAGGGGCGTGGCATGTGACAGAGGGGCGTGGCATGTGACAGAGGGGCGTGGCGTTACGGGATTCAAATATTTGTAAACCCTTATTCAGTGTCCAGTTGATCGCACACAATTCAAACGTGCTATAATTCTTATAAATCAGAAAATAAGATCAATGCAGCTGTAATCACCTGCCAGAGAGGGTGAAATTAACCGGTCAACTCATTAGTCTAGTTATGATTGACGTTCTGTTACATTTGAATATTATGGAAGCCCGTTTCTGCCACGGAATAAAAAAATAAAATAAAAAGGTAATTGCGACTTTTTTATCTCACAATTCAGACTTTTTTTTCGCAATTCAGAGTTTATATCTCACGATTCTGATTTGCGAGAAAAAAGTCAGAATTGTGAGAAAGTGTCACAATTACTTTTTAACGTTTTTTTTTTATTCTGTGGTGGAAACAAACAAACAAAAACTAGAGAAACAAGTTAATCACTGATTTTTTTTTTCGTGATTATGTATAACAGAGATCCTAAACGGACATAGTAATGGAAAAATATGAGATGAGAGTTAAAATTATATTTAAGTGCTTTTATGTTCTTTCGCAAAACTGGTTCCCCAAGAAAATTAGAATTTTTTTTCTTTGTTAAATTAATAAAATTTGCGTCTTTATCCTTTATTCTGAGAAAACAAACTCAGTCGCGAGATATAAACTCAAATTATAAGAAGAAAAGTCATAATCGTGAGATAAGAAGTCGCAAGTACCCTTTTTATTTTTTATTCCATGGCGGGAAAAAAAGGTTAGAATTACGAGGTGTAAACTCAGAATTGCGAGAAACAAAGTCCGAATTGATATAAAAGTCGCAGTTAACTTTTTAAATGTTTTATATTCCATGGCGGAAATAAGCTCTATTAACATACCGACACATTACTATTGTAACGTGTAAAGAACGTTCTGGGAAAGTTCGTGTGAATCAGGTCTGAGCAGATTCAAACTAATCCACTTGTAAAGCATTGCGTAACTAGCAGTCAGTTAAACCATCAGTCACCTTTATTTCTATAGCGCTTTATACAAAACTGATCGTGTCAAAGCAGCTTTACAGAGTCAAACAGGAAAATAGTTTGTCAATAATGCAAGAAGACAATAACAAAGAGTCATTTCTCCAGCTAAAGTCAGTTCATCAGTCATGATCTGCTTTACAGAAACGCTGAGCATCAACGAGAAAGCAAATGAGTCGCATGTCAGCTGATTTGCGTCATTCGAGAAGACCTCCATACACGTTAGGTCACGTACCAATAAATGTTGTGTTGTGACATGTTTAATAAATGTGCAATTATGTCCTTATTGCTGAAAGTGTTTTATTTCGAACAAAGTAATCAAGAACGGGGAATATTTCAGTGGTTTTGCATTTATTCAAAAAGATACTTTTTGCATGTTTGAAAAAAAACGCAAAAGGTTTACGACTGAATTCAAAATTTCTCGTGAAACCGGTTTTGCGAAAGAACGTAAAAACATTGAAATATAATTTTAACTCGTCTCATTTTTTCATTACTATGTCTATTTAGGGTCTTCGTTATACATAGATATTTTTTCCCACCATAGATTTTTTTTTTTTTATATATATATATATACGATTTTCATTTAAATTAATTTAAAATTTAAGTAATTGCTACACTTCATCTCACAATTCTGACTTTTTTACACAATTCAGAATCATGAAATAAAAACTCAGAATTGCGAGATTAAAAAGTCGCAGTTAACTTTATACATTTTTTTTATTCTATGTCAGAAACAAGCTTCCATAATTAACAGCCCAATGGATTACAGTGGAAATAAAAAAAGTATCGTCTATCAAACTTTGATAAGTGAGTTACAAATAATCACTTTGTACTAGCAAAGGTAAGAGCGTCAAATTAAATATTTTATCCCAGTTAAGAGTAGATATTAATTTTAATCTGTTCCCGTCTTAATTTATTATCAATTCTGATGTTATATATTTAGAATTTATATTGCTTGATGTGGAAAGATTTAGTTCAGTTACACATGGAAATTGTTTACTTTAAGCGTCAATACAAATATCAAAGTAACTTTGAAAACATGTTTATCATGAAAGAGTAGTAATAACTAAAAATGTACATTTTCTGAAGAAAATGAGGAATTTTTTATTTTGTTTTTATTTTTAGCATGCTAGCTAACACTTAGCTAATCGCTATTAGCATGTAGCTATTCAGTGCTAGCATGTTGGAAATCCTGTTTGCTAGCTTTATTCAAAAGAGCCAAGGCACATGTCTATACGATGTTCTGATGCAGAGATATAGATCTTAGTAAATGGTTGCTAGGGTATTGTGTTTGGTTGTTAGGCAGTGGCTTGGCAGCTGCTATTGATGATACTCCATATCATCATTATACTACTACTACTAATAATAATAATAGACAAGTGTGATAGTAATAGTGATGCTTTGCTTCGTAGCACCACTAATAATAGATTTTTTGTAATAAAGTACTAGATCCAGACTCTTCAGTGGAGCCTCATGTCCCAGACTGATGAATGACGAGTGTGTTTTTGGTTTTTTAGAGCGCGTTTAAGTCTCAAGGCACCCGTCTGATCCCAGATGACCCGGTTGAACAAGCGCTCGTCTACCAGCGAGTGTTTGAGACCAACAACCTGCAGCAGAAAATGTGTAAGTGCCCTCAACAGTCAACATACTTCAACCCTACAAACGTACAAGCGTTCAGCTTCAGCTGCTGCTTGTCGTGTCAGATCTAGACTGATTTTGATCAAGTAAGCGTCAGAATAACCACATCTTCTGAGGAGCCTTTATTTCTTCAGCTCTCAATCACTGCATTATATGTTTGGAGCATTTCAATCTCATCTTATTACTGGAGATATAGAGCCACGACTGAGATTTATAGCATTTTATGTTATAAAGATCTCACTGATTTACATTAAAAGCATCGGAATTTCATCATATAAATATCAGCATCTGATGCAAATTCATATTTTTGAGTCTCTGAATAAAACTGAGCTGTTTTTACTACATATTCTCGCTCTATCAGACTATATGAGCCATAAAAGCCTGATGGATCAAATATTATAAACATATGAACTTTCTTTTTCTTTTTTTTTTTTTCTTCAGATGACGTGGCTTTCTATGCGTGGTACGTTCCTGAAGGAGAGAGACATGAATCGGCTCTGAAGAGGAATAAAGAGAGTTTAATCGCCGAGCTCAAACTGTGGGAAGGATACTTGGAGAAGGTTGGGTTTTATTGATATTTATTGATAATATGTGACCCTGGAGCACAAAACCAGTCATAAGGGTCAATTTTGTGAAATTGAGATTTATGCATCATCTGAAAGATGAATAAATGAGCTTTCCATTGATGTATGGTTTGTTAGGATCGGACAATATTTGAAAATCTGGAATCTGAGGGTGCAAAAAAATCTAAATATTGAGAAAATCATCTTTAAAGTTGTTCAAATGAAGTTCTTAGCAATGCATATTACTAATCAAAAATTAAGTTTTGATATATTTACGGTAGGAAATGTACAAAATATCTTCATGGAACATGATCTTTACTTAATATCCTAATGATTTTTGGCATAAAAGAAAAATGTATAATTTTGACCCATACAATGTATTGTTGGCTATTGCTCCAAATATACCCCAGCGACTTGTGCTGCAGGGTGACAAATAAATAAGACGGCAGATAATCATTGTTTTAGGCGGCTGTTGCAAGTAATTGCAGCCTGAAATCTTATCAGTAAAATTATTAGAGTTATGGAGGGAGGGTGAACTTGACCTTTGTTTAGGTCTCCTCATAACTGATAAAGTCCTGACCTTCATTTTTTTTTCCCGTTTTTTTCTGAAATGAATCGCATTACAAAAACGGAATGGATTATGAATGCACATGTTGATTGTAGTGATTGAATTCTTGTCTTTATTCGTAGAGGAGATGCTGTAACTGTATTTGTGGGGATTAAAGTGAACCTTCATTTGTTGAACCTTCTCTAACGATGAGTGATTTGTTCATAGATGGGTAAAGGCTCGTACCTCGCTGGCAAGAACTTCACCATGGCCGATGTGGTTTGTTTCCCCGTCATCGCATATTTCCCACGACTTCAGTGAGTGAATCGCTCTGGATATAAAGCGTTTTTCATTACTGCATGTTTAACCCTCATAATGCATTTGGGTCGGTTTTGACGGAAGAGATACATTAAAAAAAATTAAAAAATGCATAATTTGTATTAAGGGAACAGAACTTTGCAAATGCTTTAAGAAACATGTTATATATATATATACAAACAAAAATGTAACAATGTAAAAAAAATTACAAAAATGTGTATATATATATATATATATATCAAAAATTACCCGAACATGAAACGCGTTATATCTCTGGGAAAAAAATAAAATAATAATATAATTTTATTTTTTTCCCAGAGATATAACACGTTTCATGTTCGGGTCATTTTTGACCCAGGTTTGTATGGAACACCATTAGATGTCAAAAATACCTTCTGTAAAATTATCTATGAAGTTACATTAGTGTCTGTAAAATATACTTAACCTTAGCCATATCTCACACACTTTTGGACTAAATTTTGTATATATGTGAGCCTGCAGCACAAAAGCAGTGTTAAGTCGCTGGGGTATATTTGTAGCAATAGCCAACAATACATTGTATGGGTCAAAATTATAGATTTTTCTTTTATGCCAAAAATCATTAGGATATTAAGTAAAGATCATGTTCCATGAAGATATTTTGTAAATTTCCTACTGTAAATATATCAAAACTTAATTTTTGATTAGCAATATGCATTGCTAAGAACTTCATTTGGACAACTTTAAAGATGATTTTCTCAATATTTTGATTTTTTTGCTCCCTCAGATTCCAGATTTTCAAATAGTTGTATCTCTAATATTGTTCTATCCTAACAAACCATACATCAGTGGAAGCTTATTTATTTTTGATTTTTTTGCTCCCTCAGATTCCAGATTTTCAAATAGTTGTATCTCGGCCAAATATTCAGCTTTCAGATGATGCATAAATCTCAATTTCGAAAAATCGACCCTTATGACTGCTTTTGTGCTCCAGGGTCACACACACACACATACATATATCTATCTATATATACACACACACACTCTCAAAACGTTTTATATTTTCACATTCACTGATATAGTATAAGTTGCTGATATATTATGGGCTTAGTTGAAAAATATTAAGTTATGCCTGTTTTTTTTTTTTTGTAAATTAGGAATCTTTGAATGTGAAAACAGTCTCAGATGTTGAATGCACGGCGAGGGTTAATGATTGATGCTGTGAGGTGAAGGTTCAGATGAGGCTGGTTTAATGTTTGATCTGGTTTCAGCTGTCCTCCGGAGCGTTGTCCCAGACTGATGGAGTACTACGAGATGCTGAAGGACCGTCCCAGTATTAAAGCCAGCTGGCCGCTTGAGTGGCTGGAAAAACCCGAGGGTCAAGACACGCTCAAGAACCTGTGAAGAACGTCTGAACACACCAGCGGCATAAACCCATCACTGTATTCAGTGTCATCTTCAAGTTCAGCTTACTGTATTAAATCACAACCCTTGACTCTGTTCAGTCTTGTTTTGATTTGCCTGACGTTTGACATTTAATCTCGATCATTTATCTTTAACCCAGCGGGCCGCGTTATTTGTGAACTCGGTTTTGAAAATAAAGCTCATTGTGTCTGTAATGATTAATAAAGTTGTATCCTGTTCGGTCCAAATAAAGAAAATATTCACCATCATTACAAGAAATTAATGAAATGTGGTTAAGTTTTATATTTATATATATATATATATATATTTATATATATTTATATATTTATATATTTATATATATTTATTTTTTTAATGTATGTAATATTTTTAGTAATTTTTAGTTTTATTCATCATGAATATTAAGCTTATTTTTCAGTCACAATCATTTATCCATTTTTTTTTTTTGCC